GTAACTTCCAATAACTCAAGACTGTTGTTAGTCAATAGGGAGCTAATGAGGATCATTGATTCATTTATGATTAACTTTCCATGCTAGAAACACTTCCTTGATACACTGTGACTTCAGCGTATTTATTACCTAATCTTGTTTTGGGTGGTGCAGGGGACTAACCCCAGAACTTTTTGCAATAGGTGCTTGGCTACTGGGTTATCTAACCGTCCAATATTTTATATTCTCGATGGTCATGCGTAACAGCAAAGGGGTGTGGCTGGGAAGATGAGTCCGTATGCAAGGGCATTTGCTGCATGGACATGACCACCTGAATTCATATCTCCAGAAGTGTAAAGAGCCAGGTGTGGGTATGTGTGCTGGGTGGAGAGCAGGATTTCTGGGGGCCATGCTGGCTCTCAGCACAGTTATAGGTTCTGGGTGAGACCCTGTCTCAAGGACCACACCGAGAGGGAAAGTTCAGGACCCCCGCTGTCCTCTGGCTTTTGCCCATGCCCTCATGTGTGCACACACTATATACACTTAATAATGAGTTAAAAGCCACAAAGGAGCATGTTCATGCAGTCTAGCCTAATAAAGTCAAGTCCTCTAACATGCATGCAGACATCTCAAAATATTTTCAAAGTGTCCATACTACTGGCTTCTAGTGGCTGCATAAGAGCTAACACACTCTACATTACCAAACGCTCTGTCTAAGAGCTGGATGGGCTGTTACTGATGGCTCCACCTTGCACCATAATTCAGGTGATAGATCTGAAGTTCATATTGCTTGATTATTTTTACCCAAAGCATTTCTAGTCCATGGACAGCAATTTCACCCCAGGTCTAATCTTCCATCTAAGAAATTCAGATTTGGGCCATAAGAAGAATGGAAAAGTTAATGCTGATGGGCTCAGCATGATTCCAGAAACTCTACCCCTCCTTCCCCCCTCCACCAAAAAAACAGAAGAAAAAAAAAAGCAACATCAAAATAGACGTGTCCAAAAATAATAAATAAATAAATAAATAAATAATGTCATTAAGTACTAGACCCCTGCCGTCTTAATGCTTCTGCAGGGGATTGGCTGTATTGCCTTTAAAAGGCCAAGTCTTTGTCAGCCTCATACACGAAGAACTACTCACAAGAGTTACATCCATAAAACATTTTGGCCTTACACCAGATTTGTTCATGTGGAAATCAGCATCCATGTCCTAAAGTTAGAATTCAGATGTGTCTAACCAAGCCTTCCCATTAAAATTTTTAGCTGAAAGCCTTGGGGTTTCGGAAGTGTTATTTTCCAAATAAAATGTTTAATTAGTGCCTAATTTAGAAAACCAAAATGGTTGTTTACGGCCCCTGCCTGTCTCAAATTTAAAGAACATGAATGAGGCACAGGCTCGTTGAAAAGTAACAACTGTTAAACAGTGTACACAACGGCAAGGGTCTTTCCCTTCGTGACTACAGAGCCTTCAAGCCTACGCCTTTTTCTATGGAAACTCTTCTCAACTAAAAGCTTTTAGAAAAGGCAGGCCAGAAACCCAGTGGCTTATATGGAAGAGAAAATGGGGGCAAAGGTTCCCACTGCCCCCGCCCCTCAAAAGAAAGGGAATTCAGGTAGAATCATTTCAGGTAGATTTTTGAGGACTTGAGAGGCTACTGAAGCCGCATAAGCATTAGTTAGGTCTCCAGTCTCCGTAGACAATTGCCTATAAAAGCCACTTACCCTGTCATTTTCTTGAGTGATGTGGAGCATGGACATGATAGGGGACAATAGATATTAAGTATTTGTGAAAATAGAACATCTCACAATTTTAAACTCATCCCATGTGCATTTAACCCCGTTCAATACACACTCGCCCATTCATACACATCTAATATGAAATGAGTTTCTAGATGACAGCTCGACACATGTCACTCCTGGGAAACGGAGATGCCACGACACATCTGTGACCCGCGTTTACACCTTAGAAGATCGGAAGTTAGCCCAAATGAATTGTCCCGTGATGCCCAACCTGTTTACAACGGAGCCAAACAAAATGTACTATATCACAGGCTAATCTATTACTACAGTTCTTCCCAGGGCCTCAAATACTGCCTAGAATATCCATGTTATTGCTTCATCATACGTTGCTATGACTGCTGGGTCCCTAAGTGACTTTTCAGCTAAATTTATATTCATGTTCTTAACAATTTTCTTAAGATTTGTTTCTGTAAGTAAAATGCCCCCCACTGAAAAGTCGCATTCAAGCCTTTCTCTGTCCTGGTGGGACCGCCCTGCTATGAGTTGTTTGCTCCCATCCAATGTAAGAGTCTGCATAGCTCCCTACATACTGAAAACACTTGACTAAGGTCTGACCAATGTCCTATGGGAAAATGAAGCTCACTGTTATCCCCTTGCGCTTCCCTGAAGCTGATTGGGGGTATGCTTTAAATGGCTCTCAGCATTTTGGGTGACTGAACTAAAATTTTATTAGCAATTGATGATTCTTTATTTGCTTTTACTAGGTTTTGTATCTTAGAAAGAAAGAAAAAAAGAAAGAAAGGAAGGAAGGAAGAAGGAAAGAAGGAAGGAAGGAAGAAACAAATTTGGTTCACATGTTGCTACAACAGCCAAAGCTTAAAATGTAACAAATCAGGTATGTTTTGTTTCTGCAGTGTTGAAATGTCTAAGTGTTTGATATCATTTGGATTAAGTAACTAGATAGTGGCGTTAACTTTTCATTTTTCATGTTTTGATGTGGTTTGGCTATAGCTATGGATGCCTTTCAAAACACTTAATTGATGTTGAAGTCATTATGTTTCCCACCTTCAAATTTCTCTGGCATTACTTTAGGGGGCAAGATGGGCTATATTTAAATAAGATTTACAAATACATTTCTTTTGGCATTGTTGAGTTCTCCCCACATTACACTCTCCATTCATAAGAAGAACACACATCAGATGCTATGTAATGGCCTGGAGTCACCTCTCCACAGAGAACAAGGTACCTTCTTGAGGTGATAACTTTGTTCTTCCTGAAGAGCTAAGCCATACATTTAATGGGCACCTAAGCAGGAGGAAATAAAACACTAGACATCTCATCTTTAGCTAGTTCTGCCATTTCCCCTAACCCCTCACAAGACACTCCTAAGATTGCTGGCTGTGTGAATCCATTTTATATTCAGCAAGAAGTCAGTATTTGCAAATATGCAGCTTCAAAGCAATAGAGGAGACAGCAGGGAACCAAAGCCTTTGCTTGTAATTCTCCAGAAGGTGTGTGTGTGTGTGTGTGTGTGTGTGTAGCTTGGCATTTCTACCAACCTTCTATGGGTTTCTATGCAACCCTTTCACCTGAAGAGGTGTGTGTGTGTGTGTGTGTGTGTGTGTGTGTGTGTGTGTGTGTGTGTAGCTTGGCATTTCTACCAACCTTCTATGGGTTTCTATGCAACCCTTTCACCTGAAGAGGTGTGTGTGTGTGTGTGTGTGTGTGTGTGTGTGTGTTGAACTACTTTCTAATGTGTTTGATGGATCCAGTACTATGAACCAGTACCTTTAAAATATAGACTGTTGAACGCACTAACAAAGTCATTTACCGCCAGTAAACAGATTTGGGTGAAAGAAAAGGAAGCCACGAAAGGCCAGTTTTTCACGAGTGATTCCACAATACTCTGAACTAAACTGCACACAAAGTTTCTATGAAGAGAGAAAAAGGACGGTAGAGGCCCCAGCAAACTTATCTGTGCAATGGGACCATAGCATCTATGACCGAGATCCTTCTAACATCATGTGACAGAAACTCATAGCAAGAGAAACACTGAAGGTCTGGATGTGATCTATTTTAAAAGAAGATTCCAAATGAAACAGAACAGACCGAATAAAACGGCAGCCCAAGTGGCCGTGCCTGTGCCGTAATAGGCAATTACAGGGGACCAAAGTGGCCTCCTGATTTAGCATAGTTGCTTTTTATAAAGTGTTTTCTTGATTACATTCTTCTTGAAAATGGCTATTTAAGCAATTTTAGAATTTAAAAAAAAAACTGAAAATGTGCAGTTAATTATAATTACAATGGGTTTCATAGTAGACACATTTTTTTACCAACTAATGAGCAGATTTTATTACTTACCAACTTGTCCTCTAGACAATTGTGCCCCAGAAATTAAAGTCACACAGACACCCTGTCCTTCCCAAACAAGAGGCCATTAATATTGTGATGGAGATGTACAAAAAGTGGCAGAAAAAAAAAAAGACCATTACATGTTAAGTACTAAAAGGAATGCTTCACTAAGATAGGTCTTTTTTTTTTTTTTTCTTTTTTCTTTTTCATAGAAAAGCATTTTGAGTGGACACTTTTTATAAAAAAAAATCAGTAGTCTTTAATTTTCATGGTTTTATTTTGTTTCTCTTGAGTCTATGAATCTCTATCAGAAATGTATGGCATCACATTTCTCTGAACAAAATCAACATTATCAGCCTTTAAAATTGCATGCCAAGAATACCTATAAACTTATTTTGTTGTAAAGTATAAATAATGCCACAAATGATTATCGCTTAGTTTGGAAAGTCTTTGATCACTGGAGCCAGTGAGATGGATGTTTGGGGTCTTTATATTCACAACCCCAAGACACCAACCCTTATTAAAATAATGACTGTAGGCACTTTGCCTCTTAGATTCTTCCATTCATTTGACAACTTTAAATACAGTGGAACTGATCCCTTATTTGCTTTGGCAACCAAACAAGAACTTGTATAGAATTGCAAATGTTATCACTACTCATTACCAGAGAGTAGAAATACTAAAGCTATTTCTCTCTCTCTCTCTCTCTCTCTCTCTCTCTCTCTCTCTCTCTCTCTCTCTGTTTCTCTCTCCCTCTCTTTCTCCCTCTCCCTCTCCTGTCTGTCTCTGTCTTTCCTCCCCCTCTCTCTGTTTCTCTCTCCCTGTGTCTGTCTCTTGTCTCTCTGTCTCTCTGTCTCTCTCTCTCTCTCTCTCTCTCTCTCACACACACACACACACACACACGCACACACACACACCAGAACTTACCTGCCCCACAGCTTGCCAGGTAAAATTCATAGAACGGATATTGACAGGGATGGCTGGCATTCTCTGCTGGGCTTTCCTGAAATCATGTGTGAATGGGGCCATTTTCCCCTCTGAGACAATCAGAATGTCTTCTTCAAATCCTGGAGTGGAAGTAATAAACAAACTTATCAAACCAGAGGCATTTCGAAGAACAGGCGTTTCGTGCACAAAGCAAAAACCTGAGGGAACCTGTAGGTCACGGCTTTCCACAAAGCACCTGCCTTTGGTACCAACGATAATAGTTACTTTCTGTCCTCCCGCGCTAAGAACCAGGCTTGCCAACACTCGAACACACACGGTGGGTGGAATCAAGCATCGCTAAAGTTGGGTTCCTCTCAGGACTAGCAGCAGCAGGATCGGAATGTTGGGTCGCCTTGGATTTGTTTTTGAGGAAGAAACTCATAAACTTCCCAATGGAAGACACCGATTTTAAAAGGAGGGGGCAATCATCCTGGAAGTCAAGTTTTAAAGCATACTCGGTGCTTGTCTGGAGAGACTGGGGACAGACCGGGAAGGTGCAAATGCAGGGGTCTTACCTATGAGCACTCTCGCCTGATGGGCGTCGATCCACAGGTACAAGCTCTCCTCCGGCGGCTGCCCCGCGTCTGCTCGCAGGAGGAGCAGGCAAGGGAGGAGGATGCTACAGATCAGGAGCGCTGAAGCTGGATCAGCACCTCTCCCGGCCATGCTGCTGCTGGGGACCTTCTCGCTGGTGGTGCAACTCCTGACGCAGGGACCCAACCTGCGCTTGTGACTTGTGAAGTTCTCGAGTTGTTTTTTTTTTTTTTTGGGGGGGGGGGGCTGCAGCTGGCGAGGCTGGAACTGTTCCCACTTAAAACGGCTGGGCGGGCAAGTCTCCGGTGCGAGTGAGCCTGGGGAGAGCTGCAGAGGAGGGAGTGGATGTGCGGCCGCGCAGAAGGAGGGGCGTTGGAGGGAGTCGGGACCTCAGAGACTCGATGCTGGCAAAGCTGGCGGGGCCAGCGCGTCCCGCAGCGCCAGCAGCTAGAGGATCACACGCGGGAGGGAGGAACCGCGGGAACCGCTGGCACCGGCGAGCGCTGAGAGCGGCCGCCGCTAGGGGGCGCTGCGGGGCCGCGTGGGCGGGGCCGCGGTAGCCGCCAGACCGCGCCAGCCCGCTCGCTCGCGCCAGGTGGATGAAGCGCTGTGCGCCCCGGGAAGTGTGATGGGGACGCAGCAGAGAAAAATGCACCCAAAGGGACTTTAGGGTGGCCACTGGACCCTTCTCCCACCAGACGAGACGTGTGTGGGTGCGGGGATGCGGTGAACGGAAAAACGCTGGGCTCGATTGGTCACCAAAGATGGTGACAACTCGGTCTTCCATCCCGGGGCTAACTGAACGCACACAACCCACCTGTGCCTCTGCGTGCCGGTCTGCAAACGCAGCCTTCTCTAGTTGACGGTTTGCACTTTCCTGGGAGGTTAAGTATCGAGACCCCCACGGGCAGTAGTGTGGCTATGGCAGGCGTTGGTCCTCGCAGGCAGTTTTCATTTCTGCACTGGACCGATCGATACCCGACAGGTGGCGTGGTTTATCTTCTTGATAACCCAGCTGCACCCAGAATAGTCCCCCTAGGTCCTGGATGATAGCTGTGGCTGACTACTCTCTACCCCACACTTGCACCACACACACGCACTCACGCACACAGACACACACGCCTTGCCCCACGAGGGTAAGACTTCCCTAAACATTGGATTTTGGAAAAAGAAAATGGAGGCTCGTGCCCAGTTCCTGAAACCCTGGGAGGCTGGGGAAGAGCCCCTAGCTGGCAGTGGCCTCCATCATTATGCACTGCTCATCCAGTTCCCTGCACGGAAGGTTTTCGCCTCTTGCCTGACTCCCTGAATGAGCAGAGAAACAGGCTGCAAATGGTTTTTCAAAAGCCCAGAAAGTTTTCAGACTCAGGAAAAGCTTTGTTTACTCTCCCCCCCCCCACCATACCCAGTTGCTTTTTGACCAACACCCCCCCCCCATCTTGTCCTACTCAGCACTCAGCCCCTTGTAGAACAGAGTGTTTCTCGCCAGGGAAAAGCAAACAGAAACTACACAACAAAAGTCTGGACATGTGCGTGTTCAACAAACGTTAGGTCACTGGCAGTTCCCAATAAATAAATAAGATATCAAGCTGATAGAAAGAGGGGTGTGTGTCTGGAGGGTACACAAGAGGACGACCGCCCATTGAGAATTCAACTTTAAGTTCTTAGTGCTGTTTCCTTCTGCAGTAGCTACTGTTACTATTCTCCTTTTACTGATGGGGAACTGGCGCTTGGAAAATCGGGTAAATTGACCTCCAGCTGGTGAGCGACAAGAGTCAGAGTTCAGGTCACGATCGCTCTGACTTCAAAGCCGCTTCTCGTGATGATTCCTCTTTGTTACGAACAAATCACGAGGCAGTCTGCCCCCAAAGTTTCACAGCCACTCTTCCCGGGAACAAAACTTGTAAACCGGTTCTGGTGAGCACTACCGAAGTAGACGCCGGGGCCTCGGAAGCTCATTGTTCATTCAGTCTGCACATGGAGTTTGAAGACGGTGTGAGATTCTATCTCTCAACAAAACAACAACACAAAAACTTTCCCCCTAACGTTTTATTTTATCGTCGCAGTGAATATTCATTTGTACAATGTCTTACCCCATTACGCAAACTTTTAAACCCTTTAATAGTGCAAGGCCAGTGCCACTCAGTCACTCGTCATAACTCTGAAACACAGTAGACCGTTTCTTTGATTTGGAGCGTGTGGTTTTCATTGGAGGTTTTTCTCTCCTGCTATGATTGCTCAGTCCTCTATGGCTCTTGGTGCAAGGACGCCCTCTACAGGTCGTTCTTGTCGAAGACAAGCTGAGAACTGGAAAAGGAGTAAATTCTCTGTTAAGATGGCTAGGATTTTCTGTGGTGTTGCCTTTGGTGTTGATCTATCCTGCTATGAAGGCGTTTCTCCCTTTTCAGTAGTTATTTCGCTTGGTGTCGTGGCAAGCGTGTGTTACTCCAGCACTCAGAGGCTAAGGCAGGAGGGTTTCTAGGACGCCAGCTTATGCTACTAGGGAATCCAAGTCCAGCTTGTCTCACATCGTCATCACCACCAGCAGCAGCAATGGTTGCTTTCTGTTCACTTTTATCCAGCAGAAGACATTATATTATACTTTTAGAAATATATAAAGAATTGTTTAAGAAATTATTGGTACTGGAGGGATGTCTAAGCAGGTGAGAGCCCTTACCCCAACTGAACATGCACATGCATGAGAGCCTGAGTTCACAACCCTGACCAAAAAAAAAGGAAGAAAGAAAAAAATAGAAAGCTGATCCAGGTAGCGTGGTCCTGTCCTGTTAGCCTAATGCTGAGGGGTGGGACAGGGATCCCTGGGGCTTACTGCTGCTAGCCAGGTGCTGTGTTTATTGAAAAAATCCCGCCCCAAGAACTAAGGTGAAAATCGATAATGTTCTCCTCTGATCTCTGTGTATGGGTTGCACATGGACACACACACACACACACACACACATCTGGAATTTAAGCCAGCTGGGATGGCACATGACACCCAGTGATGGCAACCCTCTGGAGCCTAAGGAGGAAGACCATTTCTAGAGTTCATAGCTAGCTCAGGCTATAAAGTAAAACCCTGTCTCAAAGAAGAAAAAAGAAACCTGTGGTTGAATAATTGTTGGGTTCTAAGAATGAGGAAGGATCATACGCTGTGTATACAACGCTATTTTTAACAGTAATAGAGTGCATCTTCATGGGAAATCCATCTAAGAGTTGAATTTTTATCCTCTACCTGCTTTAAGTCAAAGATCAATCAAATAGATTATTCACTTAGGACAGGTATGGCCTCGCATCTTTCTAGTAGGAAATATGAATGCATGACACATGTTGGCTGCATTGTGGCGGGAGTCACTATGTTTACTTTGAAAGCTTTCCCATTTACTCCCTAGCCCGGTGTGCTCCCTACCCTGGTGTGATGGATTCTGTCCTATCATTTATGCTTGTAGCCTCATTTATTTGCTCATTAATTTTTTCACCCATTCAATAAAATCTACTAAGTACCCAATGCATGACAGGCACTGGTCTAGAACAGACAAAACAGCACTTGACCCCACCCTCAGAGCACCAGACTTACTAAAACAATGAGACCAGACAACCATGATTCAAAGCAGAATGTATCGACTTTTGACAGAGGTTCAAAGAAGAAATCTGGCATCTGGAATTCTGAACAGTTTTTCATTTATCGTTCATTCAAAACATTCTTAGGGGCTTGATATGTGCATTGTACAGGGCACAGGGATAGGAAAGCAACTTAAAAAAAAAATAAGAGTGATTTCTCCCTGGTCATGTGGCCATTCTGTAGCCAGCTCCCAGCTATAATGATCTTGGTGGCTACAGGTGCTGGGTGGGAACAGTACACATCAATGACACCTGAGTTACATTGTAGCACACTAGTGTGGGGAGGAAGTCTGGAAAGAAGAAATAAGAAGGCCCAGTATTGTGTATAATTTAGTTTTGCTTGTAGAAGACAATATACAATATGTATATAAAAGTACACAGACAAATCTGCCAACCTATGTTCATATTTATTTCTGTATGCCATCTAGAAGATGACATACCATGAAATTGCCAGCAGGTGTCTATAGAATGTGAAAGTGGGAAGAGAAAATGATTTTCCCTTCAGGTGCTTGTAGGACCTTCATAATAAGGTGTTCTTTGAGTTAAATATGACACATGACAGCTCATTACTGGACACACAGTCTGAGCGTCCCTCATTGTCCCACAGCCTTTCCTGCTCTGCCCTTCTCAGTGGCAGCCATTGCCAAGCAACCTTGCATATCTCGACTTCCACAAATCACATTCAGAATTTCCTGTTGAGACAGAAGTGTTTAGCCATGCAGAATGAATATGTGACAGGACCAGAGCATGTGTTGGAAGGTTTTGGTGGTCACTCACTCTGCCCTGAAGTGGCAGACTACAAGTTGTAATGTGTGTTATCTACACTTCAGTCAATATCAGCAAGCCTCCAAATGTTCCCAGCATCCTTCGTTTTCCCTGTACGATCTATGCTCGTGATACTAAAATGCTGTAACTGGGCGGTCCTTTTTAAGCTAAACATTATTTGCAAAACAGAGGGTATTATTTGTTTTTAAAGCTTTTGTAAATAAAGGCTTTGGAAATGTTTTCTTTAAAAAAAAAATTCTTCTTTGCCCATGCTTTTGCATCCCTGTGATATTTAACAAAACCATTTTTTTATGATATGGGGAAAATGGAAACTGATCCACTGCCTAACGCTAGAGGAAGAGTGAAACAAATGTGGACAGTTTTTTTTTACATAAGATGTTTTAACTTTTTAATTATGTTTTTGTCATTTAAAACGATTTTAAACATAAGTATATTTTGATCACATTCTCTCCCTCCCCGAAGTCCTTCCAGATCTTCTCCCTCTCCCCAGCCAACCAACTTTAAGTTTTCTCAAAAGATGGACAAAAACCCAATACACAACAAACCCTTCAAAACCAAGGAAACCACATAAAATCACACCCCAAAGGAAAAACAAACAAAAAAGCAAAAAAAAAAAAAAAAAAAGTTCACCAAGCTATAACCAAATAAACACGTGCGCGCTCGAGTGTGCACACACACAAACACACACACACACACACACACACACACACACACACACGCGCTCACGT